TCCCTCTCCAAGGACCCGTCCCTCCTGGCAACATGTCCAAAGTATGTCAGACGAAGCCCCAGAATCCTTGCCTGTAACTTGGTTTAATCCTCTCCAAGATTAATCTGATACTGTTCGATGATTTCTGCACTCTGTTGGGTCACTTTTCTTTGAAATGGGAACAAATATCGATCTCTTCCAGTCAGTTGGCCAGGTGGCTTTCTTCCAGATTTCTTGGCACAACTTAGTGAACACATCCAGGGTAGCGTCTGTTTGTTGAAATATGTCAGTTGGTGTGCCCTCAATTCCTGGAGCCTTGTTTTTTGCCAGTTCTTTCAGAGCAGCTTGAATTTCTTCCTTCATCACCACAGGCTATTTAGAAAATTTTTAAATGTAAAACTTTAATGAAAAAATATTATTTAACCCAATATATCCATTTACTGTCAAAGTAAAAATCAGAAATAAAATTAATGACTAATTTAATAAATGTAAATTTGTAAATGGACCATTTTATAGTTCCGAATTTTTTTACTTTTTTGCACTCAGTCTTTCGGAATCCAAAAATTGCACATCTCATACAGTTTACTCTTGAAAAATTGATTCACAGTCCAGGCTTAACAATTCCAAATCTATTTTTCAATAATTAAATTACTTTTATTGTTATATTTAAATTAAGTCTTTTAATTATACTAACTACATATGTTGGTCATACAGCCCTTCTGGGTGTTTGAATGAATACTAATCTTGATTTCTTTCCTGTTCTAGACTTGGAATCAACTGTTTATCCTGAAGCTTTTCATTTCTTTATTTTAAAATCACACAAAAAGAAGAAAGGGGGTTTTTGAAGTTTGGGTGATATGGGGTACTTAGAAACATACTTTAAAAGTTTGCAAATAAAAGCATTTTTTAAAAAGTTTGCAAACAAAAGAACAGCACAAGAATGGAATTAAGACAATAATTTGATTCTTAGCACTATTTGTCCAAAGCCGAAAACTATGCTGAAACAAGAAATAATCAAAAGAGTAAGTGCTATAAATGGGCAAATTCTCTCATTTATGTTCTTTCCTGTTAATATTTGTTCTTTTCCGTTTTAAAAAATGCTGCTTGGTGTATCGTAACATTAAAATAATTTCAAAATCATAGTACTGTTTAGTAAAGAAATGAGTTTTCTGTTTTCCTTTATTTTTATTCTCATTAGTTTTACATCACATTAAAAACAACAGGCATGATTGACATGTGCAGATATTTACTTGAGAGCAAACTCTCATGTGCATTGTTATTTGATTAGTCTGATCCTGTTGCTAGTTGCCATTGAGTTAGCTTCAACTTTTAATGACTTTATATATGTTGGTGGTAGGTGCATTGAAGTTGATCTTGACTCATTATGACCCCGTGGCAAAGTAGAATTGCCTGGTAGGCTTTTCTTGGCTGCACCCATGAGTCATACTTGGCTCTACGGCACCTAACCACAGCCCTCAGATTAGATGGCTGAGTGAGTTTGTAGCTCAGTGCTGCAGCATGTGTCACTCAGGATCCTTGGCCTTTTTTAAAGCAGAGCAGAGTTACCTCCCAGCCTTGTTCAGTCTTGGTGATGAGAGACTGTTGGTGATGTGTTTCAGTAAAGCCTTCTAACCTAGGAGGCTCGTCTTCCAGAAAGAAAAATAAAAAATAAATCTGAGAGTGTTCAGTTGGATGCATAAGCTTCTTGGCTGATTTGATAAAGCAAATCACTAGACTAGTCCACTATTTCTAGTCTTAGTTGAGAATCCTCACAAAACTGGTTTGATTTGAAGTATTAGTAGCCCAACTTCCAGTGCTAGCCCCACAGTATAGCAAACTGACAGATAAGTGATAGCAGTTTGTTTTATACTTTTATTTATATTTAATTTTAAAGTTTGCTTTCATTTTTATAAATAAATATTTTATTACTATATAAAAAGACATCTTCAAACCTGACTTCCTCCTATATTACATGTACCCTGTTTATATTTTCCGTTTTAACATAGCCATATCGATTTAATTGTTTCTGTGACACCTTTCAGTAATCCTCAGAATAAATAAACGCACAGATAAGTGTCTGTTAGTTTTTTGTTATGTTATCCCTGAACAAAGGCTGCATAGTGGAGTGGACCTGGAGGGAGGGATTGTAAAATAATGAAAGAATTTTTCTTTTACTTTTCGAAGAGAAGAGTGTACTGGGGTGGGCC